GGTTATTACCATCAAACTATCTGCAGCACAAAGAATAGAAACAGCATAAATGATCAAAATTTCCAGAAAAAGAGGCAGGCCTATTTCAAGAAATTATGTAATGTAACAACCTCTATATTTTCAACACATCACTATGAACTTAAATGCTTCCCACCACAGTCCACAGATATTAAATGCCACACAGAATAAAAATTTATGAAACTTGCATATCTAAAGCTTTTTTGTATTATTTTATACTAAAATACTGATTTAAGTTGGCTCACATACCAAAGAACTGTCAGCAGTGTCTTCCTCTTGAAATCATAATACTGTACTCATCAAGTTTGCCCATCAGTTGTACTATTTAAAAAAATCTAACTGCACAGTAAAAAAACGCATGCATACATTTTCTGTTCAATACAATAATCTTAATTTTTCTACAGTGTATGCCTGCTACTTGTGTCTAAGAACTCTACCTCACATTAGGCTTACTCTTAATGTGATGATATGGACAGCTTGATGTTTACAGTACATATCTGGCTGCAGAGCCAGAAGCTGGGATTCCCCACTTTACCTCCTGTGAGTAGATACCACTTGTCTGGTTTGGACAAGCTGCACAGTCCTAGAGTGCCCCTAAAAGAGGGGAATGGCAAACCACTTCTGTGCATTTTCTACCTAGAAAACCCTGGAAAGGGTCACCAAAAGTCAGAATTTATTTCATTATTATGATTATTTACAAGATTATTATTACTCGTAATTTAGGTGGTACAGAAATGCAGCTTTAGCATATGGATTTTAACATTAAACAAAAAATGTAATTCTATACCACACACATTTCACTTCGGCAAGAAATTCCAACAGTAAGTCTGTCTCTAAAATACTGATACAGCACCTTAAGTCTTCATATAGTACAGGGTGTAACAGTTCTTACTAAATTTTCACCATACTAAATTAAAAGCAATCAGCAGTGCAATTCTGCTATGCTATAAAGAATTATGCATTACTAATTCTTATAGCTATTATAAAGGCTAAATAATCCCATAACAAAAATAATGTTTCTTCTTTTAACTATCTATAAATACAAGAAACAGAAAGTTAGTACATCTAACACTGATCACTTTTATCTTGCACTGATTTCAATGGCAGACTCAGGCACATGCTCAAATCTCATATATTAAAATTCACTAGGCAAAATAGTGTTGATGTAACTTTACACCAGCATAATCCAGATCAGGTAGTGGAAACATTTAATCTGAATTAATAGAAAACTTCCTATCTCTCCCCCTTTCAGGTTCTAGGCCTCAGCACACAGAAGGAAGCATTTAATAGTTAAAAAAAACTTCCATCAGATCACCAGCAACAGCAGTTCCCATCCCAATAATGGCAATTTTCTACTGTTAAAGAATCTCACAAACTCATTGGGCTTCCCATGGCTTCCGCAGGGCAGTAAAGGATCTTTAGGGAGCTTCAGAACTTGATTCAACTTACTTCAGCATAAAGCTGTGCAACATGATTTTGCCCATTAAGATTTAAGAGCAATAACTTTTAACTGCATTGGGTACCAAATAGTCTACTGAGACTTCAAAACTTTGAGAACTACAAAAAAAAAAGTAATACAGCTCAATTGTGAACACTTATTTGGTATCATAAGACCATGTTTTGTGCTTTTCTATATCAAACTGGAAGCAATGAACATATCGGTCATAATTGCTTTCAGAGTGTAAAGGTGGCACATATAGTGTCTTTACCTTTATTTGCAACACAGTGCAGAAAATCTGCCCCAACAGTAAAGTATGGAATGGTCTGCCTTAAAAAAACATGCAAATATCTGCCACAAAAATCTGAGTATGTCAACTCAAAAGTAAAATCCACAGGGTCTAATGGGATTTACTCCAGAATAAGCACGCAGAGGACTGCAGCCTTAAAGAGGTTTCTGATTTGTTGACAGAACTTTGTTCACCAGCTTCTGCAAGTTGTTAAATGAAAAGTGAGGACCCACTTTTATTTAAAAAGATGTATCTATATAACACAGGAGAAATAAGCCCCCTATTTTACCATAAATACTGAAATTTAGTTCAAAGAAGCTAATATACCAACTGAAAAGATCAAAACCGCAGCCTCCAAAAGAAGGGGGAAACACTCAGTTTCTTTAAGTAATACTGTATAACGACAACTTTTATTTCTGATGGCAATATCCATACTGTTGCAGAAAAAAATGAGAAATTAAGAACAAGTTTAGAATTTCAGATTAGCTGAAGACTAGTTGGTGACATTTAATTCTGTTGTCCTTTTGGAGCCAAAAGCTCCTGATCCCAAAACCCTGTCCATAAAGCACTACCTACTGGTTAGAATCCTGTGACATGAATCCTGGTGTTAAGTGCAACAAACTTAAGTTTGGTGTAAGTGCAATGAATGTAATCCTTTATTGCATGCCCAGTCATGCAACTGGCACAAAATGAAGACTAAAATCATTGATATCTTAAATAACAACAATCCATACCAGCAATTTACATCATTGCATTAACACCACTGTACATAAGTAACAGGATTCTTGTTTCTAGGTACGTACTACACAAACATGTAACAGAATTTTTGCACTCTATAGGAACATGTTTTTGGAATACAAATGGTGCTCTCTCTCTTACTCAGAACTTTAAATCAATAGCATGTTTAACAAGATATCGTAAAGAAGAATCCCATTTCTTGAAAAAACACTTAGAAAGAATATTAATTTCCATCTTGGAGTGCACTAGTATCAAAGTCAAGGCTCTAAAAGGTTGTCCACATTTTCAGCTACATCATAGGAGCCTTTAGCTTATTTCCCCAACACACCACAATATTAAAAGGAAACTCTCCATCTTATTTCACCTTACTTATGTGAGGTGCAGTTAAAAGTTATTGCTCTTAGAACTGTCAGAGAGTGAAACTAAACATCCAAGTGTAACAGAAAAAGTTATATAAAATGCATACAGTTTTATGAAACTAGAGGTACATCTTTCTGACTTCACAGTAACTTGCCACTGATAAGGCTACAATCCTAATCACTCAGGGGAATTTACTTCAAAATAAAATAAGTTTTGGCAGCAAGTGTATTAAAATTCTGGCCTATCCTATTCTGCAAGTATCATATACACATTTTAAAAGGGTTTTTTTTCTTGATTTAAAAACAGTTCTTTAAAAAAAAGTTCCAATCCTTTAGTCTTTGAAAAAGGTTTCAACTATGGAGTTGTATTATTTCAGCAGAGATGAACAGTACTTTCTTCCTAAGTACTATAATAATAAATGTCTTGCTGTGATTAACATGATCAAGTGTACGAATTTCAAGGCTAGCATTAATCAGTGTAGAAATATATAGCTTTATTACTGTGATAAAAATGACCCCAGACTGTGCACTATATTCTATATGCAGAAATCTCAACTTCTATTAAAAAGTTACATTCCTGCTGGAACAATATCTGAAAAAAATGAGTCTTTTAGGCAAACCACTGTCAACTACAGTGCCTGAACAAATACTAATGTATTATAACTTCACAAACCATTCACAGATGTTCATCATATACTACAAAACAGATATCTCACACCTTGCCCTCACATGCAAATCAGTCCCACTGATTTTACTAAATCTTACTTTCAAGTTTGTATAACCTAAACTGACACCTGACATAAACACAATCATAGCAAGAAATGAAATGGCACCCTCATCCCTAACTAAACACCCACTTAGCCACCTGCAAGCTTCCCCGACCCAAAAGCCCCAACATACCCCCTATGAAAATAGGTATCTGTATTCCAATCAGTGCAAAATCTTACTTTGTGACAGCATAAAAATGTTGTGGATCCAATTCACATTCACCCACAATAACATGTACTTGTTCAATCCTGAAGACATTAACTAAACAGGGGGTGCAGGGGGGAGACAATGTAAATCTATTGTTGTTGTTGTTTAGTCTTAAGTTGTGTCCAACTCTTCGTGACCCCATGGACCAGAGCATGCCAGGCCCTCCTGTCTTCCACTGCCTCCTGGCAGTGGAAGACAGGAATCTGTAGTAAGGCTCAAAATAACAAAGAAAGAAAAAACGGTGAAAAGTAACAAGAGCCACATGCTAAGAGGACTAAACCAAAAGGCAACCCCACTCCTCCTACATAACACATGCAGAAATGGAAAGGGGGGGAGGAGAGAGAAAATAAGGTGCACATCTCCGATCCCTGCAAACATGTGCCAGAGTAGGAGTGTGAAATCTCAAAGGTGTCCTTCCACTAAGCTTTGCATCCGTGCAGACAGGGCTGCCCCAGGGTGAGGGGGGCAAGTGAGACTTCAGAATAACAAGTTGCTGAAGAAACGGAATTTTCCCAGCACTACTTGGGCCACCAAGACAAATTAAAGGCAAAGTGGGGGGGGGGAGAGAGACGCCACCGCCGCAGCTTTACTACGAATACTCAATCATCAAAGCAGCATCATTTCCAAGATAATAAAACTTCTCAGGCAGCATCTGAAAGGAAAATCAACCCAGCAAAAAACGGCCTGGAAATAATCATCCTAGGGAAAATCAGAAGGGATCAGAGAAATCTCCCTTTCCCCCTCCCCTCCTTGCAAATGTGTCATCTCTTTCCCCCCCCTCCCCACTCCAATGTGTCCCCTCCTCCCTCCCGCTCCACCCCCTCCTCTCTCAGAAACTTACTTCAATCCTTACAGGTGACAGAGGAAGGACATGCCCCCTTCCCCGCATCCCTAGGCTACAGACCTTGGGGGGGGGGTAGAGGGTGGGGGTGCTGTAAGGAACCGCCACCTCACAAACACGTACCACATACATACCGCCCATCCTTTTCCATTCCTCCCCCCCCCCCACCGGCCCAATAAACTCCCCAAACAGAGAGCAGAGCACAGGGAGAGGAGGATTAGTCCTAGCGGGGAGGAGGGGGGGTGGAGGAGGGAGAAAGAAAAGAACAGAACAGAAAGAGAAAACAGGGAGGAGGAGGAAGAGGAAGAAGAAGAAGAGAATCCAAAAGGTGGGATACTACACCCTGCTGGTGGTGATGATGTTGCTGCTGATGTCTGGCCGGGGTCCCCCAGCAGGACCTCTCTCGGAGGGGGAAGGACTCCTCTTCATAGGGAGAAGGTGGTGGTGCAGCTGCTTCTCTGGGCCTGCCTGTCCCCCTCTTCTTGGCTCCTCTTTCCTCCTCCTCCTCCTCCTCCTAGAATCCAAAAGGTGGGATACTACACCCTGCTGGTGGTGATGATGTTGCTGCTGATGTCTGGCCGGGGTCCCCCAGCAGGACCTCTCTCGGAGGGGGAAGGACTCCTCTTCATAGGGAGAAGGTGGTGGTGCAGCTGCTTCTCTGGGCCTGCCTGTCCCCCTCTTCTTGGCTCCTCTTTCCTCCTCCTCCTCCTCCTCCTCCTCTCACTTCACTTTTTTCTTTAATCTAAGCTGGGAGTGGAAGATGGTTGGTTGGTTGCTCCCTTTTCCTCCTCCTCCACCACCACCACCTCCTCCTCTTCTTGCTGCTGCTGCTGCTGCTGAGGCTTTCCTCTTCTCTCTCTCTCTCCTCTGAGGGGTCCTTTTCCTTCCCCTCTCCCCGGGGGGCTCCTCCTGCACCGGGGAGGAGGGGACGGGCAGGAAGAAAGGAACGAAGCTGGAGAGGCGCAGGAGAAGAGAAACTGTGACACAAAAACAAGCCGAGAAGCTGAACTCTTCTTCAATCCCATTCACCCGGCCCGGCCGCAGCACCCGCACGCCTGGATCCCTCCGCCACCGGCCTCCCTTCGTTTGGCTTGGCTTTGCTTTTGCCTGGCCTGCCAGCGGGGCGCGCTCCCGACTCGCTGCTCGCGTGTGCCCGACACAACTCTCTCCCTCTCTCCCTCGCATACAGCTACTCCGGCCGCTTCTCCAGAACGGAGAGAGGGGAGGCGAGGGTGGGGACAAAAGCGGAGGGGGGAAGGCGGGCTCCCC